CACACACACACACACACACACACACACACACACACACACACACACAGTCCCGTACTAACCTGTGAAGGTGGCGCCTTGTTGCAGGTACATTGAAGACGAAGCTGGAGCTATGGCGCCGCAGGTAAGTCTCCCTGGCCTCCGCCAACCATCTCTCTCGCTCCAATGCTACTCTAGCTCCTAATAGCGCCCAGCTATGAAGACTACTGCTAACGCTACTACTACTACGGCAGCACTCCTCCAGAGTGCTGCTGCCGAATCCTGAAGACTGCCTCCTGCCTCCTGCACGTGAAGTGCCTGAAAAGTCCCTACGAACTGCCTGCAGCCTGCAGGGCGGGCCAGCCTTATATAGTGCTGGCCCATCCAGGAGGCTGCTCTTGCCAATGCCAAAACGTGCCAGACCCTGGCGTTGAAGTTCAACAAAGGTTGTCTTGAAAACAGGCCCAAAATGGCCTGTGCTAAGTTTCAGGGCAGGTCGACTTTATGAGGGCCTGAAAATGGCCCTCGTTTTCAGGCTTTTAGGCTGAAACGACACAGGGCCTGTAGGGCCCTGAATTTTCGTCTGGTCGGGCCCTGCAGGCCCGTGTGGCTGCGCAGTATGCCATACTCCCCCCCCCTTGAAAGCCCGAGCTTACCTGCGAGGGCAAAGCTGCCTGTCGGAGGGCGTGAAGCTTCCTTAGCTAGTCTTCGTTGCTCGTAGTCGGCGTAGATCAGCGGTGTAGATGCTTGCAAATCTGTTGGTGTCCAGAATGTCGAAGGACACGACCTCGCTTGCATGTGGGGCGAAGTACACGGGGACGGAGTCAATGCACTGGTCGATTGACTTGTGCGTATGACCGTCTGCCAATGTGACTTGCGTGGGCTGCGACTTCCTCCGAGCGCGTGGCCGCAGGCCAGCGTGTACCAGAAAATCTTGGCTCATGTGGTTGTCAGTAGCTCCGCAATAGATCAAAGCGCTGCAGGTCGCCTCTCCGATCTGAATGCGTATGTACAACAATGGCGTCGATGTTGTCGTACCATTGTGTCTTGAACTCGCGGTCGATCTTCGCAGCGTAGTTGTGGAGGTTGACAACCTCTACTCCGGTGTCCATCAACGGAGCAGGTACTGCAGTGTGCAAGTAATCCCGCAATTGTGCCATGAGCACGTTGCAATGCGGTTTCGACAATCGACTGGTCGGGGGAAGGGGCATCCATTGGAAGTCCGTGAACGTCAACAGGTCGAGCTCCTCGAGTCTTGACCATGACATCGAATTTTCGGCGAAAGTTGGTGGCGAAGCTGCCGAATCGGTTGTCGATGGTGGCGAAACCGTGCATGCGGTGGATTGTTGCATGTGGAGTGGTTGGTCCAACAGTGGGACCAAGTGGACAATGCAATCCTCGTAAGATTACCGAGGACTTGCGACATGCGCCTCCTCCCCAGATGTGTAGGAGGCCGCTAGCAAGGCGGCCGAATCTGGCGGAGTGAGAGGTGGAGTCGCCTCACCTACCACGCAGTTCAGTTTCACTAGTTGTGGTACTAGCTGTCCATTTCCGGCCGGCGATGCGGTTTTCGCCTTCCCTTTTCCCCGGGAGTTGTTGTTGCTTCACGGCTGGACGGCGGCCACCTGATCTCCCTCACCTGATGCTGAGGTGGCTGCCGGGTCTTCCACAATGTTGTCCGGTTGGACTGCAATGACGAGCTGCAGACGCGGACCAACTCTTCCTTTCTCTACATGGGCTGGCTGCCACGCTGACTTCTCGTGTGCATGCCCAATGATGAACCCGTCATGGTGGCGGGGCCTTGCTGACGTGGGACTGCTGACGTGGCATTGCCGCTGATGTGGCACTGCTGCTGACGTGGCACTGCCGCTGACGTGGCACTGCTGTTGACGTGGCACTGCCGCTGACGTGGCACTGCTGCTGTTACATGCCCGGTTGGGCGATGTACATACAAACCGAGGAGCCGCAAAGGACTGAATGGACAATGCTGTGCAAGTACAATCTCAACTAGCACTGTGCATTCTGATACATACAAATGATGTTGAATAGTGCAGGGAAGATTTAAATACAAGACCTGACCTGACCGGGACTGACCTCACTCACATAGTATCCGATAGCGAAGCAGAATGCTAGACTACTAATGACTAGCCCAATCAATGTTTGAACGCGGACCAAACATACATCGTATCCATCACCAAGTGTGAAGGAGCCTGACGCTGTACCCAGGAAGAAAGCGCCAGGTCCAGACATACACAGGCGAAGAGGAGGGAATCAGACGAAAGGAGGGAGAGAGATGGGAATGTCGTTAACACCAAAAGTCGAGTCTGGATCCGATGTCACCAAGCTCTTTCTCTCTTCTCTCATACTCTGCAGATGCAGTGAAGTCAGATGATGAGAGGGGGCGAAGGAGATGGTGGACCGAGAAGAGGAAGAAGAAGAACTCTCTCTCTCTGTTACGAGCCAGATACTAACCTGTGATGTTGGCGTTGTGCTGCAGGTACCTCGAAGACGAAGCTGGAGCAACGGCGCTGCGGGTAAGTACTCCTGGCCTCCGCCCAATCTCTCTCTCTCTCTAGTACTCTAGCTATGGCGCCCAGCGCTGAAGACTACTGCTAACGCTGTAAGCGCCCAGCGCTGAAGACTAAGGCTAACGCTACTACTACTATTGCTGCAGCGCTCCTCCAGAGTGTTGTGGCCGAATCCTCAAGACTACTGCCTCCTGCCTACCCGTGAAGTACATGGGAAGTCCCTATGTACTTCCTCGGCCTGCCTCCTGGCTGCCTGAAGGGCGAGCCAGGCCGAGGAGGCTGCTCTTGCCAATGCGGAAGTGTGCCAGGGGCTGGCGCTGCAGCAGCTGCTGCAGCTGGCGTGGGAACAGGCCAAAAATAGCTTGTTCCTAAAACCCTGGTTTGGTGCCTGAGTTTCGGGGTAGGTCGGGCTGATGAGGGCCCGAAAATGGCCCTCAGTTTCAGGCTAAAAAGGCTCATGCCGTTTTTAGCCTGAACCGACGCAAGGCCTGTAGGCCCCTGTTTCCAGCTCTACGAGTTGAACAGACACGGGGCCTGTAAGCCCTAAATTTCAGGCTTTCGGCCTAAAAACCAGGCTTTTAGCCTGAAGGACGCAGGGCGTGGGAAATGGCCCTCGTGTGCAGGCGCAGCATGTAACACCCCCCCCCTCCTTATGAAGTCAAGCCGGGGCGAGGGCGAAGCTGACGATCTGAAGGTGGAACCTGGACGCGGGTGCGGCGTGGAGCGAAAGAGACCGGCTTGCCTTGCATCTTGCGTTCGTAGCGTGCGAGAACGTCTGGAGCTGTTTCTTGAAGTTCCGCACGGGTCAACCAACGGTCAACTCGATGTGTGCAGTATGCAAAATGTACCAAGTACTCGGTTGGCCTGTTGCCGTAGCGTCGCTGGGAGATGATGTCGCCGACCTCCTGAAATCCGTCCATAGAGGGTGGGTCTTGCGAACGTCGCCCGGGAAAATCCTCATGATCCGCTGGCGTGTAAAGAGCCAACTTGGAGCAATGAAAGACTAGGTAGACGGGCAAGTGGGCGGGCACCCGAATCGTGAAGGAAGGTCCCTTAGGTGCGTCTCCAGTGGGTGCTACAATCGGCCAAGGCCACATCCATTTCGGAAGGAGCTTGCAAAAGATGTCTTGTTCAAGGTTGAATTCCGCTGCGGAAACCCAACGAGGTCGCCGGCGCGGAATGGACAAGGAAGACGCTGGCGATTGGCCTGCTGGCTCATGCGCTGCTGCGTCTTAGCCATCTGGTCGCGTGCTTTGACAAGAAGCTCTTGCATCCGACGTAAGAAGAGAAGATGGTCGTCGCTCTCGGCCGCTCGTGGAATGATGGTGTCCAACGGGGAAGTGACCGGCGAGCCGTGATCGAATTCGAAGGGCGACATCCCAATAGCCGGGTGGATGGAGGAGTTGTAGGCCAACTCGACATCCGGCAACCGCTCAACCCAATCCCTCAGGTCCGGGCGGATGAGAGTACGAAGGAGAACCTGTGCGGTCTGGTGCGCCCTCTCCGTTTGGCCGTCGGTCTGGGGGTGGCGAGCGGAACTGGGCTTGAGTGAAGAGCCCCATCGCTTGATGAGCGCCAACCAAAAGTCGGACATGAACCGAGTGTCGCGGTCGCAAACGATTTCCTTGGGGTAACCCTTGGTTCGAATCCAACCGGCGTAGAGAACCTCGGCCAATTCCGGTGCCTTGGCATGGTAGCGGCAAGGCAAAAACATGGCGAACTTGGTGAGTCGGTCGACCACCGTGAGAATCCCATCCACTCCGGTCTTGTGCTTGGGGAACGGGTCGGTAATGTCCATGGCAATCGCTTCCCTTCGCCGCAAGGGGACCGGTAGCGTTCGCAACTCGCCGTACGGACGATGATTGCGGGATTTGCAACGTCGGCAAACCTCGCATGACTCACAATAGCGTGTGGCGTCGTCGAGAAGACCGGGCCACCAAAAGCGCTCGCGGAGTCGGCCAATCGTACGATTGACTCCAAAGTGTGCGGTGGCGGGAGCATCGTGGAACTCGCCAAGAAGCCGTGTGCGCAAGTGTAAATCTCGTGGCATACGAAGAAGATCCTTCCCTCACGAGTGAACGAGCAAGTACCCCTCTTGGATCCGATAGTGCGATGGCGCCGGATTAGGAGAGGAGCAATTTGCGTACTTGTCGCAAAACTCGGGGTCGACTTGGTAGCCGCGGATGAAGCTGTCCCGCAAGTCGTCGTCAATCTCAAAGGTCGAGTAGACTACGGTACAATGGTCCGGACGTCGTGAAAGAGCATCCGCAAAACGGTTTGACTTACCCGGAATGTGGTCGGGGAAAAAGTCAAACTGGTCGATGAAGGCCATCCAACGGGCAATGGTGCTATTGACCGTGTCTTGGGTCTTGTAGAAGACCAATGGATTGTTATCCGACCAATGGATTGTTATCCGTTACCCATCGGAGCTGCCGTCGACCAAGAAGAAAATGCCGCCAGCGCTTGACCGCGTGTACGAAGGCCAATAACTCCTTCCGTGCATCGTCAATCGAGTGCACGCCGGGCAGTTTCTTGCTAAAGTACTCGATCGGGTGCCAGTCCACACCGTCATGTTGCTCGAGAACAGCACCAATGCCATAGCCGGACGCATTGGTAGTGACACGTGTTGGCAAAAGCGGATCGTAGATGCGCAACACCTCCGCGGATAGCAATGCGGCTTTGAGAGCCAAGAATGAAGTTCGCGCATGGTCGTCGAAGTCGAATGGCCGGTCCTCGCATTGAAGCTTGGATAAAGGAGCCGCGATCTTCGAATATCCCTTGATGAAGCGTTGATAGTAGCCAGCTAAGCCAAGGAAGGAACGAACGTTTGTGACGGTCTTCGGTTCCGGCCACTCTTTGATGGCTTGAATCTTGTCCGACAACGGACTGATGCCCTCTGGTGTGACAAAATGGCCCAAGTATTCCAGCTCTTGCCGGACAAATTCGCACTTGTTGTGGTTGGCTTTGTGCTTGGCGCGGCGGAGCGTCTCCAACACTCGTCGAGGTGCTCAAGATGATCCTCCAATGTCCGGCTATAGACGAGGATGTCGTCTAAGTAGACTAGTACAAACCGGTCCAGCATCGCACGGAACTCGTTGGTCATTGCCGCTTGAAAGGTTGCCGGGGCATTGGTGAGACCAAACGGCATAACGATCCACTCAAAGTGTCCGTACAACGTCTTGAACGCGGATTTGTAGCAATCTTGCGGGCGTATGGAGATTTGATGGTGACCCGACTTCAAGTCCAACTTTGAAAAAAAAATTGCGGCACCCAAACTCTCGAGAAGGTCGTCAATTCGCGGAAGAGGTTCCGCATTCTTGACGGTTTGTGCGTTGAGCTTGCGGTAGTCGATGCACAAGCGAAGATCCTTGTTCTTCTTCCGTACGAAGAGAACTGGCGCACCATATGGTGAGCTGCTAGGGCGGATCCAGCCCTTGTCCAAAAGATCGTCGAGTTGAGCGCGGAGAACCTCAAGCTCTTCCTCGCTCATGCGATATATGCATCCTTTCGGCGGCACGGCACCGGCCTCGAGAATGATCTCGTGGGAGATTGGCCGATCCGGCACCACACCGGTAGGAGACTCGAAGATGTTGGTGAATTCGTCGAGCAGCCGCACCACTCGGGGGTCCGAAGACAAGTCCGTTGGTGAAGATTCGGTCGTCGCGGCGGCTCGTAGAAAACATAGGCCGATCTCGTGGGTCCGCTCGTAAGCGCAAGTGGCTCGAAAAGACTTGGCCGTTACAACTTGGCACCGGATCGAGGACTGCGGAAGAGGAATGGTACACGGCACCTCGGCGCCGAAGGCGTCGCGAACGGTAAGTGTCCGCTGATGGAAGTTAATCGTGTGATCCGCACTTGCAAGCCAAGGCATGCCCAGAATGATGTCGAAGTCCGTGTCCAAGACGTCAAACGTCACCGGTTCGCATGCATGAGGTGCGAAATAAACTGGCACGGCTTCAATGTAGCTATCGAGGAGTTGTTGCGTCCGACCGTCCGCCAACTTGATCGCCGTCGGGTTTGGCTTTCGTCGAACTTGAGCGCCAAGGCCAGCCCTTTGCGCTAAAGGACTGGCTGATGAAATTGCGAGTCGCGCCGCTATCCAGCAAAGCGCTGCAGGACGCTTGCCCAACTTGGATGTGGACGTAAAGGAGTGGTGCGTTGTTATCATCGTACCGCTGCATGCGAAACTCGCGGGCTGCCTTGGTAACATACGCAAGGATGTCCCCCACCGCAGCTTCGTCATCCGTCGGCGAAGATGGTGGTGCATAGAAGGCTAAGTACGCGTGGAGATGGGCGCATAGTGCTGCGCATTGCGGTCCCGGCAAGCAGCCTGTGGAAGGGAGAGGAAGCCATGCAAAATCCTCGGATGTCAACGGGTCCAAGACCTCTATGTTGAATTCGTGCGTCGAATCCCTTGAAGAGCCACTTGAAGACGATCTATTGTTGTTGTTGCCGGACGGAGAAGAAGCTGCACACACATCTTGTCCTTGAGCTTGAGAACCCAGCGAAGGAACGAGCCGGGCAGCATAGTCCTCATAAGAATACAAGAGAGGACTGTCGACTTCCGCATGTGCCTCGGAATGAAGAGAGGTCGCTCGCGAAGCAACCGATTCCGAAGGTGTCGAGAGTGCGGTCGCATCACTCTCGGCGGTGCTCACTTTCCCAAAGGGGATTTGGCTTGGACCGGTGTGGGGCACGTTGCGGTGTTGTGCACCGCGCTGTTGCACCACAAGCAATATCGGTACTTAGAACGGACGCGGTATACGCCTTCCGAGATACCGTAATGTGTCCAAGGCTCTTGAGCCGCTGGTCCGGCCTCGGGGGCTGAAGTGGTGTGTGTCTTCGGTCTGCTGCGTCCTCGCCCTCTGGCGGGGCGGCCACCATCCCGGGCGATTGCCAATCTGTCTCCTTCCTCAGAAGAGGCAGCCTCACTTGAAATGTTGGTCGCTGTAGTTGCTGCGACCACGGCCACTTTCGACCGATGCTGTCCTCTGCCCTGGCCTGCAGCAGACGAATGGCCCAAATTCTTGGCCTCGATGTTCGCCAGGATGATCTGCGAGGCTTTGTCAAAAAGCTGCTCACTTGTGGTGAGCGTCTCCGTAACTTGCATCAAGGCGTTCTGCAACGCCGGGCAGCTCCTCCTGATGAAGAAGTGCTTGATAGCGACGAATGTCGACGGCAAGTTAGGCGTGGATGCCAAGCGTTGGTACTCGGTGATCCAGTCCGTGCTTGGCAGGTCATTCTGATAGAACCGTTGAAGTTTCTCGGCTGCCTGAAGCTCGGGCGGCTCCACTTGGAACCGCTTATGCCATGCTGCCTTGGGATCAGCCCAACTGATCTTCGTATGCAGCTCGGAGACTGCGACGTTGTGCGTGGACAACATGTTGTCCAGCCATGCCTGGCACGCACCTCCCGAGCGGGAGTATAAGTACGAGTGCCGGTTCGGATTGATGACATGGTGAATGTCCAACTTCAGCTTAAACTGACGCCACCATGGGATCGGGTCCGTCTTCGTTGCATCACAGAAGACGTGGTGAATGTCCAACTCCAGCTCAAACTGACGCCACCATGGGATCGGGTCCGTCTTCGTTGCATCACAGAAGATCGGGAGGCCGTCAAACTTCGGAATGCTCTCGCGATTGGTCGCGGTTGGACTGGCTGCGGCAACGCAAATCTGCTGGTCAATCCGCTGACTTGTTGTTAAAGCGCCGTCCTTGAGAGTTCCGACGTCGATCTCCAAGACGTTGATGCGATCCGCCAAGTTGGAGGGTCCAGCTGGGGTGGCTGTTGCAAGCTGCTGTTCCAGCCGGCGTACCCGGTCAAGCAGTTCGTCAATAACACGAATCTGCTTCCGGACCAGGGTGTCCATGCAGAGGATGTCCTCTTGCTGTGCTGCACAGGTGGCGACCAAGTCGCTCACATGTTCGATTGTGGTTGCAAGGCCACGCACAGCAGAGGGGGCACCCTCCTCTTCAGCAGCCACTGCCCATTCGCCAGCGATCACCTCAATATCCCCCTCGCATTCGAGGAGTTTGTCTCGGCGTAGTCGACGACGTTCATCTGCGGCCGTCGCTGCTGCCTCAGCGTCCGCCTGTCGCTGCTGTTCAGCGAGGCGACGCTGTTCCTCTGCTTCATCGTCTTCCTTCTTACGTGCGAATGTTGCCTCAGCTGCCCGTTGTTTGTACTCTGCCACCATGTCCAGCATGCGGGCCTCATAGGCCTCGGTAGTCTCGCCTGGCTGCTGCTCCATGCCGCTTGTCTTTGAGCGGGTGAGCACCATGCACTGACGGGTCCTGCTGTTGTGGCCTGCTCACGTGGCCTGCTGATGTGGCAACTTACCAATGCCGCCGCAGGGAGTACCCGGAGGGAGATAGAGAAGGCCAGATGGGGCAACAGCATATGTGGGGAGGGGGGATGAATTGCCCAGATAAGGAGCCACTAATCAAAAAAGAAAAGTTTGAACTTTGCAAAAAAAATTCGAAATAAAAAAATCCCGAGTTTTGCAAGTTCAGTAGGTCTCCCAACCTCCCTTAAAGTAGGAAATGATCAATTAGAAAAAATTTCGACTTCAGACTGCAAATGATTTATAGAACTGACTAACAAAATCCTAGAACTGCGAAGAAAAAAAATTTCCGAAAAAGAAATAAAATATTCGGACTTACTCAGATGAGAGTATTCGCAGTTTGGAAAATAATACCTGCAGGAGGGATTTCCCGTACCGTTTTACAAAAAGACGAATTTCAAAAAAGAAGGTATTCCGAATTTCTAAGTAACGGCAAATGTAACAGGAAATCGAAATTTTCGAAAAGAAAGATATTCCGGATTTTCAACAACGAAATTTCGAATTTTCAGAAGAAAAACGAAAATGGAGATTTCAGATGTTGCTCTATTGCGATTTTCCACAACAGAATAGCGAGAAAACAAAATCCAAGAAAAAAAATTTGATTTCGGTAGTTAGGTCAAAATCGTGATTTTGGGGTCTAACTAGTGTGTTCTAATCAATCAATAAAGACTAATCCGCTACTTAGTCCCCGCACACGTGTCAGATCAGGTTGTCCTGATTCACGTGCGAAGCTCCGATACAACTGTTACATGCCCGGTTGGGCGATGTACATACAAACCAAGGAGCCGCAATGTGACGAAAAGGACTGAATGGACAATGCTGTGCAAGTACAATCTCAACTAGCACTGTGCATTCTGATACATACAAATGATGTTGAATAGCGCAGGGAAGATTTAAATACAAGACCTGACCTGACCGGGACTGACCTCATTCACATAGTATCCGATAGCGAAGCAGAATGCTAGACTGCTAATGACTAGCCCAATCAATGTTTGAACGCAGACCAAACATACATCGTATCCATCACCAAGTGTGAAGGAGCCTGACGCTGTACCCAGGAAGATAGCGCCAGGTCCAGACATACACAGACGAAGAGGAGGGAATCAGACGAAAGGAGGGAGAGAGATGGGAATGTGGTCAACACCAAGTCTTAGTCACAAGTCCCAAATAATCCCTCGTTGCAATGTCTGAAGTCCAAAAGTCGAGTCTGGATCCAATGTCACCAAGCTCTTTCTCTCTTCTCTCATACTCTGCAGATGAAGTCAGATGATGAGAGGGGGAGAAGGAGATGGTGGACCGAGAAGAGGAAGAAGAAGAACTCTCTCTGTCTGTTACGAGCCAGATACTAACCTGTGATGTTGGCGCTGTGCTGCAGGTACCTCGAAGACGAAGCTGGAGCAACGGCGCTGCAGGTAAGTACTCCTGGCCTCCGCCCAATCTCTCTCTCTCTCTAGTACTCTAGCTATGGCGCCCAGCGCTGAAGACTACTGCTAACGCTGTAAGCGC